GTTGTTGCCATAGCGATACGAGTGCTACACATAGCAACGCAGTCTGCTTTCTGTTGGTGAGGTGTCACAACACAATGACTTGTGTGTCTACACTTTTATTAGACTGGGCTCTACACACAAAGGAACGTCTGCCCACAGCATTATCCGAAGATATGCGGACATTATATTTAGGTGCAATAACCATAAAATAGGACGTATCTAGAACTGCAATAAAATATAGATTTTATCATTTCTTGTTTGGTTTTTAGTTTGTAATCATGATGAAATTAAATAATGGTAGAATCTATAAAAACACCCGTAAGGCACTGTGGTTAATAAATAAAGCTGTATGGGGAGTGGGGGGGACTATATATATATCATAACCCTTTAATGTAGAGAGTATACAATGCACAGAGCAAATCTAAAGTTCTTCAGGCAGTATATGTAAAAAAAAGATACAGATATACTTTTTTTTTTTATTATTAATTTTTTTTAATTGGATGGTCCAGGTTTGATTTTATTTGTCAATCTGTTTTTATTGAGGTACAAGATGGATCAGTACAGAAAGTAAAACAAGGGGTGAATGCATGAAAAAAAACAAAAACATCTGTTATGCATATCTGGTTGCACAATTGTTACATGAACACCCACGTATAACAACCTCTTTTTATTGAGGTTTCAGCAGTGGTACTATACAGGCTAAACAGGTAGATGTATTTTAAGCATCATAACTAGGTACAGTCGAGTCTTAAGAATCTACAGAGGAGACAGTATGCAGTCAACAGGACGCAGTGCTCAGTGGGGTATGCTTATAAGGGGGTTGGCATTATGTGGCGTTTATGCTAGGTTTGCTCTGATCCATCTTAGACCAGAGATAGCAGGCTGGGGCACCATAGAGGACCATTGTAGTAAACAGTAAGCTATGTTCGGTTTGCAAGTTAGTCCGATGCGCCCAGTGCTTAGGTATTAGATTGCTAGCTGTCCAGCTAACATGGTAAGTTACGAGGTAGGCGAGCTAATGTAACAAACATACAGTGGGTCATACATGCTCGGTTTAAGTACAGAGTTGGTTAACCGACAGCGTGTGTCCCTGTTGTAGGTGCCCCAGGGCATGCATACCTGGCCGCTAATGACAAGTATTTTACATCCCACTCTCTGGTGACTTCGTATCGGCAGTAGATAATGTAAGTTGCTTCAGAGACAACAATGAGAAGCATGGCATTTCAGCAGTTAAAAATCAAGACATACAATGAGAGGAGAGATTCAAAGAGAGCTGTGTGTCTGCAAACCAGTCTCGTTCAACCCATGCCGGTTCGCGGCAAACAGTCTTCAGGGATAGGAGGGCAAAGAGTGTCGGAGCGGTAATCACGGGGCGAGGACCCCCACCAGCCCCAGCCCTGTGTAGAGGGTGGCATCCTCGAACCACTGACTCGAGAGCTGTGCGAGTTCGAGGCATTCCCATGTTGGGTGCAGCGAGTGTTAGGTTTGATTTTATGTTACTGCCCCACTCCTTATTTTGCATTGAAAGGGTAAAAAAGAAAATGTTAAATAAATTTAATAAATACATAAATCAGGAAACTGACAGGGTTATGTAGTGAGAATTCAAAGTGAATTTCAAATTTAAGGCCAGAGTAATTGAACTGATGCATTGCTGACTATTTTGACCATAATTACCGAAATACGATTTTAATTCACCTTGAATTTCCACCTGGTTAATTATTCCAGTGATGTAAGCGTTCCCTTGCCGAAGCACCAACTGCCTCCTTTCAAGTAATCGCTACTGATAACTTCTGTCCAATCAAATGCAAGGTGCATGCGCAGTAATCGCCATAATCACCCAACAAGGCTTATTGTGGATAAGTATGGAAACCAAGAGTCCTCTGAAAATCTGCAATTGGGGGTGCCATCTCCCTCTCCATTTTACAGTTTGTAATATTGAGAGAAAAACGCTGTGTGCAGGGAGTGAATACATTGGGTAATCAGGGCATGGAGTGTGAATTTCTGCCAGATTAGATTGACCAGCTAAGGGAAAAAAAAGTTAAAAATTAAAATATGGACATATCCTAGTGTCCTCTGGCCGCAGTGAGGCACAGACACTGAAAATCCACAGACAAGAGACATCTGCCCGTAGTCTTGGTCCTCAAACTGTCTGCAAGCTAGTGACAAGACAGGAAGATGGGTAGTTTCACGATGCCTATAGGTGCACCTGCATGAATTATCAAGTCCTTCATATTTAAAATTTCTGCTGTATCACCACGGCAACAGTTTTTTTTTCATTAAGCAAGACATGATCGCTACGAGCGGACATTGAATGAGAAATTCCTAGATATAAAATCTGCCAACGACATGCACCGGGGAGGCACAAAACAAAGCAAAACCAGGAATATACCATTCTAAAATAAATACGCACACAGGATTTGTCTTGTGTTTAGAACTCAGCTTGGGAATGTGTAAGGCAGTATCGTTTAACAACAAAATACACACACACACACACACACTAAAATAAGCAGTACTCTTATTTTTACAATTCTTCAAAATAGTTTTTATGTCTCGAGTATCAATTCAAAGCTCCTAAAATATAGGCCATAGTAGGGTGATGGCAATTCATTCATCTCCATGAAGAAGAAGGAAAAAAAAGTTTTGGAATAAAGGATGAGTCAGTTCACCTCTCCTCTCCCTGGTCCCCAACATCGGTTTAACTCCTTAGTGGCATTTCATGCCTGTATCACAGTCAGGCCCCTAAATACACTATACATGTATGAAAGGACAGTTTATTTAGTTTTATACTACCCTGCCATCTTTTAAGAAGTGAGGCAGTCCATTAACAAAAAAGTTCTATACTTCTAGCCATGTCTTAAGAGTTACTGGCCACTACAAGCCTGGTGGGTCGATGGCATGCTCACCTAAAGTGAATTTCTATTCGGCCGGCAGGGATAAATTACACTCACAGATCGTTAGTGGATTTTTTGAGCCCAGAGTTAGAAGATCTTTCATGATCCTAGATTCAGTGGTAGAATTATTCAATTATAAGTCCTTAAGGGACTTACTTAAAAGAGACAATTTGGTGGCAACTTATTGGGCAATTGTTAATATTTTAAGAATAGAATTATTTTTAAAAAAATTGGAGACGGTAGGGGGAATGATTGAAGAATCAAATGAGGACATATGTATGTTTCGAACAGTAAACTTTTATTTTTCTCCTCTTGATATGGGCAAGTCTTGGAATGAATACAAAAAAAAAAAAATGTTCAGCACTAATCAACAGAAAAAAGCCGCAACCCTAAAAGGGGAATCCCTCTAAAACCTTTAGAGAAAATATATATATATATTTTTTTTTTTTTAGAAAAAGCCATACTGGTGAAAGCGCATTAATGGATGTTACTACTTTGCATTTTTACTATTAAAGGATTTTGGTCACTACACTTGTGTGCTGTGCCAATTGCCTTCTTTTTTTTTTTAAATTTAGTATTAGTACGGTTTTAATACTTCCTGGCATCTTTTATCTCTTCTCTAAAGCAATCCTAGGTGGGGATCAAACCACCAATGCTGTCATCATAGAGCAGTTAGTCTGCTCTAGATTTGTGAGTCTATTTTAGCTATTTTTATCATATACATCACATCACTTGTTCTATTGAGAGCACGGTGAACCAAAATGGACACGTCCAATTCATCTTATAAGTGGGGATTAAACCACCGCACGCTATACACGCTAGAGCTGGCTAGGGCTCTATAAAATGTGAGTGTGATACAGTCATTTTTTTTAATTGCATAACTAGATTTGACGTATTACACTATTTCCGCCCGTTTTGCTTTTGTCTTTTTATATGCGTCAACAAGAAAATAAAGACAACTGCCCTACCCAAAGAAAAGTCCTTGCTGTACTACAGACTAAGACGTCTACCATCAAGAGACTATTATCACATTGACTTAAGTCTTGGAATACACACTTTTTTTTGCTTCTGCTACCTTGAAGGCAATTCACAGAAATATCATGTTTCCGTGGTAACCAGTCAATCCCCCCAAAAGTTTATTTTTAGTTACTGAACATCTAGTTCTCCTGATTCCGCTGCAGTCGTGTACTTTCAATCACCTCCTTCAGTGATAGTATTTAATCATCTTAGGTCAGCAGCAGTCAGACCTGAAAATATGCAGACACAGACAAACACCACAAACGTAACAAATTTAGATTTATCGACAGTTGATGACACTCAAGGCTGGCAGTGCATTATGGGAATCTAGTTCACTAACCTTTGCCATGGATTACTGATCTAGTGACAGACTAGGAAGGATTTCATAAGAGTTCATGATTTATTATTTAAATGAAGGAAATATATGAATGTGCAAATTAGCGGCTCAAAGTGGGGATGGTAATTAATTACCATAAACCAGCATACTGAAGGTCAATCTATATATAACATCACACATGCAAAACAAGGGCATCATTCAATGTTAAATGGAAAGAGTTTTAATGTGCAGAAAAAAAAAAAACAAGCCAAAAAAAAAATATAAAATAAATGTGCATATATATTTAATATTTCTTAATTTTTTTTTCCCCACAGAACAAGCCAGCATATACCGATATAGCGATTTCATCAATATCTGGTATCCAAGTTACTTGTTGTTGGTGTAATCTGTTTTCTGTCTTCTCGTGGACAAATAAAAGAAAATATTTCCATAATACATTACTGAGAATCTTGCCCCCACTTCATTCCAAAAATTCCTGGTTTGTAGACTTAAATGGTTTGTAAATGGACCAGATGTAGTGAGGCAGCCTGTAATTCTCTTAGATCATGGGTCGTCAACCTGGTCCCTACCGCCCAATAGTGGGCGTTTCAGGATTCCAGGTGGGCTGTAGGGATTTCCTCAATTTCAGAGACTGGGTGGGTAGGAGGGCGGGTGCGAGCCGGCGGTACCCCTGCGACCGGGTACTGCCGCCACCATTTGCGGCCCCGGCCCGCATAGCAAGCCGCCGGGCCGTCGTCCAAGGGATCCATCGGGTGGCCCATGCTGTCCGGACGACCCGATGGATGTGGATTGTGAGGGGGCCGGTCTGTTATTACATCACACGCTGGGAGGAAGTGACTGCACGTCACTCCTCCCAGCTAACACACAGACCGCGCGGGAGGAAGACCAGGGAGTCAGAGTAGGAACTCTGACTCCCATCCACCTGAGCCACCACTGGACCCCAGGGAAAGTCACCCTCCTGCACCTAAAAAGGTAGGAAACAGGATTGTGACTAAAATATTTTGTGTGTGTGTCTGTCTGTCTGTATGTATATATATGTCTTGTCTTTGTATGTGTTGTGTGTGTATGTCTTTGTATGTGTGTCTTATGTATGTGTGTATGTGTCTATGTATGTCTTATGTGTGTGTGTGCCTGTCTGTATGTATATGTGCCTGTCTGTATGTATATGTGTGTGTGCCTGTCTGTATGTATGTGTGTGTGCCTGTCTGTTATAGTGGGCTATAGTAAGTGGGCTACCTAGCTCAGCCTTCCTACTGGGCATTGCTATAAGGAAGGTTAAATAAAATAGAAAAAAAAGGGATATAAAAGGTGGGGAGGGGAATTGAAGAGATGAGCTGACGCACAGATGAGAAATCATATTATGCGCAAACAGAGAAGTCGTCTGAATATCACCGAAAGAGGAGACCTTCTTTTGTTCCTTACGAAAATCGAACCAGATATCAAATATTTAGTCTCGCAGCTTCAACCTCAAGGATCTCATTAATCACTAGAAAAGGCAATTTCAATTTACTTCAGTGTTTTATCTTTAAGCTTTATAAAGTTAAAAACATTATAAACGTGCATTAAGTAGAAATAAAAAGATAAATGTACGTACATTTATTTTTTTTAAAACACCCACCTTTCTAAAAAATATTCTGCACTTGCGCAAAAAGTGGTGGGCGGTAAGGAAATGTTTCCATCAAGAAAGATGCATTAGTGGGCGGTAGGTAGAAAAAGGTTGACTACCATGGTCTTAGATCATCACTGTGAACATACAACCGGATTTCTGCGTTTTAGCCAGTTATAAAGGAATTTTCTGCACAGAGACGCCAGCATTGTAAACAACTACAAGGGTACATAGTCTATACAAAAACACAAGTTCTCCACCTTACAAGCCCTACATTGACAGACAGAAGGGAGTGGAGAATTTTTTTATTTTTTTTAAAGGGATGTTAAAAAATAAAAAAAATAAAAAAGTTTTTTAAAAATAAATAAATAAAATAAATAAATATAAGGAGAGGGGAGATACTTGGGTAAATATTTTAGTGGTGAAGGGGTGCCATGTTTTCTTTTGTACACAGGAACAGAGGATCAGGGACTGGTCATAGGCAGGAAAACAGACAGATTGAGGGCTCCTGTCATCACGCAGCATCAAAAGGATTACCTAACACACACAGTCACCATAACTCAACGATTTTAGGACAGTCTCAAACGGATCATCAAAATCTCTGAAACTCTGTGCTGATTAAACTGTAAAAAAGGTAAGCAACGCGTAGTCGTGATCAAACTCACACAGTAACAGCTGAATGGGGCGTCAGGCAAGTCTTCTAACACAGTCGGATACAACGCGAACAAGGATTAAAATGTCAAACCGTGGCATTTAACAGCAAACTCGTACTCATATTGCAAATACACGAAACAAATATATATGCACCGATGACTATATGGCTGATGATCTGTATAAGTGTTCGGTTTAATAGACCGTCACTTCTGAGGAAATTACATCACTGGATAAAATATTGAAAGTTACCTAGACCTGTTAATTGGACACGTAGGCTTGTAATCTGCTTCATCTCATTAAACTGATTATTGTGCCTGGAGACCCCTGATGCCATCAGTTTTTAATGCTAAATGTGAGTCCCCGGCAGTCCACCCCTTCTGTGTTGCTTTGACTAATTAGTATTGGTCTGAGCTGCAATGGGCAGCAGTGATTGTCTGAGTGTGTCAGCTGACTGATTTTAGCATATCAGAGCTCCCACTGCCGGTATTAATCAGCACGGCTAGAAGGAAGTGCGTAATCTCTGCCTTAGCCCCACCTCCAGAAGGGGCTGGACTATGGATGGCCAGGGTCCCTTCTGTTGTTTTAAACTGCTCGAAAATGGTTCAAACACTGAATGGAGGGACAGGGCCCGGAGACTCCAGGCACTATAACCCATTCAGATGACATTGTCATAGTGACTCTAATTTGTTTTAAATTACTTTTTCATGTGAAGCCTGGTTTTATTTTAACGTGTATATTAAATATTTAGCAGTGACATCACATTCCAGTTTAGTCCTGACACAGTAAAGGCAAACAATGCATTTCACTAACTACATTCAATAAAAGTATGGATGTGCACTTACTGTAATGGTGGTATAAAAGACCTCCAGTGTCGCCACACCAGTAATTAAATCTAAATAAAAGATTACAGAGGCTTGATAAAAACTACTGTTAGTCAAAACGTTGACACCATAATGTATCCGGCCATGCACTAGATAAAAAGGACACTTCCCGTCTTTGAGTGCAAGACCGTTCTCTATTTGAATTTAACTACATTCAGCAGCAGAAACTAGTATTTCTTCCACTTTCGTTAGCGCTGTTTTCAAGCTTCCCCCTTCTCAATAGATAAAAAAGGGGTAGGGGCTTGCAAAGGTTGCAGACAAAGTTCTGCCTCTTTTGCAAACCATTTTACATATGCACTCAAAGAAAACATGCAGAAATTATTTTATTGTGAGTATAGCTATTAATTTTTACATTTTGGGGAGGAGCGATGGAGTGTTCTTTTAAGGCGCCTTCAATCACTTCTCCAAGTGCGTCTCTCCATGTTCAAAATTAAGGTTTGCGCAGTTTATGTACAATATTAAGTCTTTGTAATACAAAGATGATCTGGAAGAGAACATTACATTTTAAAAATGTTGCTTTTTGAATAGCATAATATGTTACTCCAGAATGAGGTTATTTCAGTGTTGCTTATGTTATATTCACTACCCGGGGACAGTCAGTGGAGGCTCAAACATTCTTCAGTGACCCGACAAGTGCTCTGAGCAGCGCTGTTGGTATTCTGTGACCATGCCGCTCTGTAACAGTGTCTGAATGAGAAACTGCCTTGAGAACGAGACACAACAGCTTACTGAAAGGAAAGCACAATAGAAATTTTAAGTAAATTTATAAAATTCAGGCTGTCTCCGTGGCTCGCATAAGAGTTAGAATAAACGGCTCTCTTTACAGGGATCAAGTTGTCCGGGATGCTCTCGCTCACCCTCCTGCCCTCTATGGACATCAGACCGGCCAAAGTTGGCAGGACTGCTCTCCGCATAGAGGAATCAAGGAAACTTTCCTTTTCTCCTTATCTAATGCAATATGTGCCCTGACCATGCCAGGACCAAACTGGATTGTGATGTAATTTGCTAAATCTTAAATATGCAGAAAACAAAAAAATAAAAAGTTATTAACACAAGTTACATGTGATTTTCAATGTTTTAGTGCAAGCTGTAATTTTCAGAAGTGGCATTTCTCTTTAAGACGTACAGATTCCTCTGCGTTTTATTATCTTACTGATCCATGAACGGTTTCCTGTTCCTGGGTTCTCTCTACATAACCCATCATAGAACGGATACCAGGACAGCATTCTGTACATTCCAAGTAGAACGCTGGGACTTCCCTCCGGCTCTGCTGCCAAATATCATCAGAGTTACATTTTTCTGTGCCCTCTGCACCAAGCGGGGAGCTGCGGTGACTGTTCCAATTAGTCTGTGTGTAATTCATTTATGATTGCTAGGTCACCAAGTATTTGCCGATCTCATGAATACACAGCTTCACGTCCTCCCAGAGAGGGTTTGCAGAGATTCTCTCAGCCTACAGACTGTTACCACTGACACAGACCACCAGAAAAGAAATAATCCATTAGAAATTAAGTGACAAGTGAATCCTTAACACTGGCTTCATAGAAAGGAAAAGTGAAAGCATAAAGGTTCTCCTGGATTATTGAGAAGAATAAAAGCAGCAGTCATCATTATCACTGGCAGATAGGTTAGGAGTCTGTAGAATCTTAAAAACCAACACACCACTGCTCAAATACCATATAAATAAAAAATCACTGTTTAGTTTATATACTCTCAATGAAAATGTGCATGCATTTAATTATGTATTTTTTCATTGTGGGTATATCTAAAAACAGCTTGCAAGAACTGCAGATCTTGTGTCTGCAGCCTTTGCAAGCCCTCCCCTTCTAACCCCACCCAGACTTTTTGGGGCTGTCCAATCATAGACTTCCCAATGCAACTCAATGAGAAGTCTTTGCAAGGCAATTGCGGTCTCTTGAATTCAGTGCAAATAAGCCAACCAAACCAGGAAGTAACAGGACCTGTTGCCTGCTTGAAAAGCCAGAGGGTTGAACCATGTAATTTAGAGAAGTGTCAATGTCTATTGAAACCTGCACTTTTCCAATTTGAAATAAAGAGGACACACTCTTCATACACAAAGTTTTTTTTTTTTTTAGCAAACTAAACTGCTTTAGGGGACTGCAGTGTCCCTTCTATTTAATTTAGAATTTCTTATCTCCTGCACTTGCTAGGCCCTGCAGGTGCCCCATGTGTGGGATTAAAGTTCAATATACAGTGCATGAGAAAAACCTTTAAAGTAAGTTACATATGATTGAAAATGGAACCATTTTGTTTCCGTGCAGGCTGTGTGAATAACAGCCAGGGGAGATGTGGCTAGGGCTGCATAAATAGAAACAAAAGTGGTTTAACTCCTAAGTGGCAGAGAATTGAGCAGTGAGGCATGATCTGTACACCAAAACTGGATTCATTAAGCTCACGTTTTTTTGGTGACTATATTGCGCTTTAATGCTGCCATGGTTTAACCAGAAAAATAAATAAATAAATAAATAAAATAAAAATAAAAAACACAACACACACACCGAAAAAAAAACCAAAACAATCAAAAACTAATTTCCATACAGTTAAGGGTTATCAAGTTGGTTATCACTTCTGTTTCTCTTCATATTTATACTCCTTGCTGTATAGTCAAATCAAAATCAATCCCATCGATGGCCAGAGGGTGTCCTTGTGGGCTTTACTGTATTACGGCAACGTTACATTGAAAAGGATGAGATACGTTGCTGGCAGAGAGTCTGTCCATGCTGTGCTGGTTTCTTTAAACCAGATGGAAGCCACAGAACTCACTATACGTAGACAATGGACCACACGAGCACCCTGAGTTCTGTGGATAATACAGAGATGGATCGAGCAGCCAAATTAGGGATAGCAGCAGGGGGAGACTTG